GGGGGGGGGCGGCCAGTGGGCTTACCGCCATGTTGGGAGTGGCCAAGCAGGTCACCCTTAAAGGGCCCGCGCGACCCGAGAGTCCTCGGAGAGGCTCTGTTACTATGACAACATCCTGGTCCTGCAGCCCCCAATGACTCCATCACCCAACTGATTCTTCCAATGCTAGGCTCCCTAATAGCACCAAAAGAGTGGGAAAGGGGCCAAGAAGTTCCCCCTTGGGTCATTCATAAGTCACTGAGGACTCCACCCACTCAATCCTTAGCTTCCAGTCACTTATTCCCCCAAGATCACAGCCTCCCCGACTAGCTCCTCTTATATACATCACAAACCTGTTGGCTTCTCTTATCCACCCATTCATCCATATGCTCAATCAACCACTCATCTATCATCCAACCATTCACCTGCACATCCACCCCTCCAACTACCTATCAGTCCATCCAAACACCCAATCAACCCACTCATCCCTATCCTACCTGCCTGTAACTATAACACCCAAGCAAATACCTATTTATCCATACAACCAAGCAAGAATCCAACCACCACTACATACATCCTTCCACCCAGCCACCCATACATCCACCATGTTTCTTTGTCCTTCCCACATGAGGACAGAGGTCTTGTCTGTCTGGTTCATTATTGTTTCTCCATGGCCCAGCTCTGTATTTTAGAAGATCTCAACAATGTAATATACATATATATATATATATATATATTTTTTTTTCACTTATTCCATTTAAATATTTCCCCCTGTGAGTCAGGTCTTTCCTAAGCAGACACATTCATCCTACCCAACTACTCATCTATCAGGTCAAACACTGAGCAAATGTTAACCTACTCATTGTCTATTGTTCTATCCATGGCCCATGATTCAAATGCCTGCTCATTTATTCAGCCGTTTTCCTACAGAGCTCAGTCATCTTGATACGTGCCCACTCATCTTTCATCAGTTTCCTAGAACTGTGCCTTCCCTTCCTGACATGAGGGAGCAGACTGGGTATTAGGGGTCTAGGAAGTCTCATCTGGAGTCTGGCAGTTGACAGGTGGGTAGTGGGATCCGTGCTTCACTGAGAAGCAGGTGCTGTCCATGAACTCCTTTTATAGAATGCCTTTAACTTAGGGTCTTCCACTGTGTAGGAAATGTTGGATGCATTTTACAGATAAGGCAATGCAAGCTGTAGAGTGATGCCCTAAAGGCACACAGCTGGTGAGAATCTGCTTACATTTCCCTCATACTAGGGGAGAATGTGGGAGAGCTGAATAAGGGTTACAGTGTACTCTGATTAGTGATACTTAGGAGCAAAGAAACTGCCAATTATACTGAAATCAAGATTTTACTGCACAACTTCACAGTGGCAGTGGTTGGCACCCACAGCTCTACACCCTGCCTTAGGCCAAGCAGCACTAAGGCAGGGGTCAGACCCCCCCCCCAGCTGTGTCCTGGGGCACATAGGGTGGGACGGGCTGCTCAGGTGGTGTCTCCATTGACGAAGGATGCTTGGAGGGGCGGAGTCTGGCTCCGGGACCCTGGTGTCCTCAGAAGAAGTTGTAGGTTCTGGACTTTGTCCTTCAGCTGGGCCTGAGTGTGCTCTGTCTTAGTCAGGCGGCACTCCTGAGAGGCGGTGGAGGTGGGTTTGGAGTCAGGAAGAGTTGCCCACAACCCTAGCTCCCCCACCTCCCAACCCTGCCTAGCGCTCCAGCAGGCATCTCACCAGACTTTTCAACCTATGCCCTTCACCATTTGGAGGACCACTCTCTGGATTCAGCTCCGAGGTCCTGTAGGGGTCAGGGGAAAGGAGGTAAAGTCAAAGGCTGAAATACCTCCCAGGTGCGCATTGGACTGGCAAGGATCCAGAGGGCGGGGTTTGGAATGGAGGGCGGGGCCTAAATGTAGACGGTCGGATCAGAGCCTGGCATGTTTTCTCTCAACTTTTTTTTTTTTTGGTACCGGGGATCGAACTCGGGTCCTTGAGCTCGAGAGGCAGGAGGCAGCGGCGGTGGAACCACTGAGCTAAATCCCCGGCCCCTCCTGGCATGTTTTTATTGTTGTTGTTTTTGTTTTATCATTTACAGCCTGGCACGTTTAACATGAAAGGAACAATCAAGCTGGGAATAGTGGCAAACCCTTGTTAGCCTGTAATCACAGCATTTTGAAGTCTGAGGCAAGAGGATCGCCGAAAGTTCGAGTCCACTCTGAGCTACCTAGTGAGTTCCAGATTAGCCTGAACTACAAATCGAGACCCTGTCTCAAAAAAAACAAAAAATACAAAATACAAATACAAATACAAATACAAAAGAAACAATCATTCAACTCTTGGGGGCAGAGTTTGGCCAGTCCCGGGAGGGGTTGTGACTGGGGAGGGGAGCACCCATCCTTAGATGTGTGTCCTAGCACAGCCCAGGGCTGTCGAAGGGTGAGGCCTGAGCGGGTGGGCCCATCTGGGGGGGGGACTGTCAGGGCCTGGACCCGACCTTGGGGGCGGAGCCAGTCGAGGGGGCGTGGTCGTTCCCCTCGGACCTGGGTAGATCTCACGGGTGCGGGCTGGCGTGGGGGCGGAGTTAGTGGAGGGGCGGGGCTCACCCGGCACGGAGCCCGGCGTCTAATTCCTGCAGCTGTCCCCTCAGTTTCTCCTGCTGCTCCGTCAGGGCCCGAATGTGAGTGCTCAGCGACTCCACCAGGCGGGACAGCGCTTTCTGCTCCTCGCGCAGCGCGGCCACTTCACCCTGTAGTTCTGCCAGCTGGGGGCACACAGCTGCCATCATCATACCGGTAGTCAGTCCCTTCCTCTCCCCAGAGACCCTGACCTCCCAGTCTTTAACACCGGGCTTTCCCACCGCCTTGGGGGACATCGTTCCTGTGGTATGAATGGGGAAACTGAGACTCTGAGAGTTCGACTAGACCCAGAGTCACGCGGGCCAGCGAGTTAGGTATTTGAACTCAGGTTTTGGCGTTTTGAGACAGGGTCTCATTATGTAGTTCAGGCTGGCCTTGAACTCACTATGTAGCCCAGGCTGGCCTCAAACTTGAGGTGATCCTCCTGCCTCAGCCTTCGAAGTGCTGGGCTGACAGACGTGCGCCACCACGCCCAGCTTGAATCCAGTTTTGCCTGGCCTTCGGTCCTTTCTTAGTCTCCCTCTTCTCCATCCTCAGTCCCCCCCCAACACACACAACTTGGGCGTGCACCTGGGGCAGACCTCACCTTGCCCATAGGTCGCTGCGTGCCTAGCACCTGGTCTCGGTCCCTTGGCTGGTCCAGCTGGCGCTGCCAGGGCACCGATGGCTTCCGAGGCAGCGAGGTAGAGGCCTCGGTCCAGGGCCGGGCGCGGAGCGCGGGGCCGGATCGGATGGAGCCTTTGGGGCGCGGCCGGGGCCCCTCGGATGGGCGTCGGCGGGCGGCGGGGACGCTCTGCGTGCGCTGCACTGGCTGGGGCCGCCTCGGGGGCCGCTCTTCCTCCGCCTGACGCCGGGCCCAGCTCCCGGAGCCTTGAAAGGTGCGCAGAGACTGGCTCTTGATGAGAGGGGTGTGTTTGGGGAGGTCCCGGGGTGCCAGGAAGCCGGGCTTCGCCCCTGCGGAGAAGCTGGGGGGTCGGGTGGGGAAGCTCAGATCCTCAACGCCCCCCCCCCCATGACCTCATTCTGATCTCTTCCAGAAACGACCCTACCCTGACTCTTGACCCTGATGGGATCATATTTTGACCTATGACCCCATGAGGATCCTGTCCTTGACTTCTGACTACTATACCATTCTCTCTATGACCCTTGAGCCCAAAGAGCCGTTTGCTCCCTCTCCAGGCCTGTCCCTGACTTCTGACACAGTGTGACCCTTGACCTGATCCTTCTATAACGTTTTCTTCCAGTCTGACTTTGGGCTTCGTCTGTGCTCATCAAGTCACCCTCTTCCTTCCCAATGTGACCCATCCTGTCCAATTGCTGAACTTAGGCTGACCTATGCACCCTGATATATTATGGTTCCTGACTTCTGACCCTGAATATGACCCTGCCCACCATCCCTGACCCCTATCTATCTTAGGTCTGACCTCTGTTTACCATTTAAGCCTGCTCCTGATGCTTGAGGACTGGCTTATAACATCTGATCTCAACGGGACCCCTGCTTTGACCCCATCCACAACCAATGACGGAAATACAATGTTCCTATCTATGGCAAGGCTACTTTCTCTCTCTGACCCCAGAGGTGACCTCTGCCTAATCGCTGACAGAACTCAGCGTGACTCTGGGACTGTCTGCCCTTGGACTCCATTATAAGCAGCTCCCTGACTCCACATACAACCCAGTCCCTAGCCTCTGACCTCTGTGCTGTGCTGTTTCTGACAATGACTCTAACGTGATCCTGCCCCTGTCCTGACACAATCCATGTTCACCTCTGACCCCAGTTAGAGCCCTGCCCCTGCTCCCACGTGTCAGTACCTGGATCAGACTTGAGGTTACCTGGTGTGGACTTGGGAAGGAGGTGGGGGGAGACACATTGGCACAGACACAGGTACTGGTCGACCTTCCTCAATGGCTTGTAGGATGGTGGGGAGTGGTTCCAAGCTGTCACAGGTTGCCTAGCAAAAAGAGAATGCTGAGCTAGAGGCTCCCAGCCTTCCTGCCTCCCTACCCCATGTTCAGGGCTGTGTGCTCAGGCCACACCTGGTCAAGCTCAGCAAAGATCGTACAGAGCTGGGCATGCAGGACGGCCAACTGGAGGGCCAGGTCGCTGCTGCCCTGGTAGCCGCTGGGTGCGGTGTCCTCATCTGTCGTGGCCACCTGGTCCAGGAAGTGTTGCATGGCTGGCCCATGATCCTCCAGAAAGCTGTTCATGAAGCTCATGTAGGCTTCCTTCTCACCAAACCTGGGTTGGGCCAGAATGGATGGATGAGTCAGGTCAGGTGCCTGGCACCTCACACCCCCAGCATGGTCCCCCCAACACCTACGGGGCATGGTTGGCGAGGTTCTGGATGACTTTAGCGATCAGCGTGAGGGTTCTGGCTGGGTTTGGTGCTGGGTGTTCTGGTGCCAGGCCAAAGAGGCTGGGTGCCAGGATGGCAGGGCACAGGAGCCGCAGGAAGAGGGAGGCGCACACCAGTCGGGAGCCCAGTGCTTCAGAGCCTCTTGCTTTGCATGCTTCTCGCCAGCCTGAGAACACAGCACCCAGCTCTGCTGGGAACCAACTGAGGCAGAAGAGGCAATGGTCAGAGGAGAAGGCTACGGACATAAGATCATGGATGGTCAAGATCATGAGGTCAGGGGTCTGACAGGAGTCATTACATGGCTTGTCAATTACCTGCCATGATACTATTAAGCCCACATAGGTTTCCTACTGAACCTGGGGTCTGGGTTCCAGGATCAGGGACATCTGGGGTAAGATGCTTACCCACATCTTGGGGATGTGGGTGGGTCCCTGTTGGGTCAGGACTTACAGTGTAGTTACTAGGGGAATCTCTAGAGTCAGCGTTCTTTGATTTAGGCTTACTTATAAGATCACATGGGAACAAAGGTCATGACATTGGGGAGTAGTTGTAATTGGATGTGGGACTCGGGTGCCAGAGTACAGGAAATACTAGGATGGGGCTAGGGTTACAGGGTCATCTAGAGTCAGAAGTCATGGGATTGGCATACAAATTAGCATGCAAATTAATCTAGGATCAGAAGTCCAGGGATTGGAATCCCAAGTGACTTGTGACCAGTTTCACTGGACTTGGGGTACAGGGTCAGTTAAGGTCAGGGGTCATGGGATCAGGAGTATGCATCATCTGGACCCAGAGGTTATACCATAAAATGGTAAGAAATTAGGGTTGGGAAAACTTGTGGGTAGAGGACAAGGAACTGGATCCCAGATTACTTGGGGTCAGGTGACATGGCTTTGGAGATAGGATTCCCGGATACAGCAAATAAAACTTCAGGGCACTCAGCTAGACTTGACTTTCATATAAACAAGGAATACATTTTTTTTAGTATAAGAATGTCCCAAATAGTGAATGGTATTTAACTGAGCGTCTTGGCAGCTCCAATTGGGAAGTCACTGTACCAATGCTTAGCAGAGTGGTGGAGGGGCAGGGGTGAGCTCACATGCTGGGCCCCCCATTCTCACTCGTAAGAGTGGACGATGGTTTCAAAGACCTCCTCACAGCTGTTCCGAAGCCTGGCTTGGTGCTCGGGCAGCTCCAGGGCTGGGCACTTGCTGGGGTCCACCTCACAGTCCTCGGTAGAGGCACAGAGACGCCGTACGACCTGCCCTGCAGCCCAGCGCAGCCAGTGTTCAGTCGTGATAACCAAAACCCACCATACCCTCCTCCAACCTTACCTCCAACTTATTCCAAAGGCCCCTGATATCTTAAGAAATTTCTAACCCCCCCCCCCTCACACCATAGCATCACCTGCTGTTAACCAGAATTCAGGTTACCCAGGGCACCCTAAAACTCCTCTGGGATCCTCTGTCCCATCCAGCAGGACTCTGACACCAGCCTCCTCTCCTCAGCTCACCTAGGGTCTCCTGGAGGTAACCCTGCGCCACCAGCTTCATGTACTCGTCAATGGCCTTGGTGGCTAAAGTGTTTTCTCGAAACAGCAGCGCCTCCCGGCCTCCACAGCGCGCCAGCTCCGCGGTGCCCAGGTCTGTCACCAATGCCTGGTTAGGGCAGGGGTCACATTGCAGGCTTAGCCCATCCTTCACACCTGGGGCACAGGCGTGGCTCTCCCTGCTGGGGCTCCGGAGGCCAGAGCCTCCACCTCTCAGATCAGAAGGGAGCTTCTTGTCTCTGAGGCCCAACTCCTGTCCGCCCCAAGCGGCCAAAGTTAAGCCCCGCCCCTCACAGGAGGCGCTGAGGCCCCGCCCCGGGAGCCCCGCCCCTCGCAGATACAGCTCGGGCTCCGCCTCCCACTCCTTCGCGGTGCGCGCCTCTCTTGCCTGGTCCCGGGTGGTTCCCGGCTCCGTGCGCTCCCGCGCCTCACCTGTGCCCGGCCCGTGGCCCGCAGCACGCGCACCATGGCGGCCGCCAACTCCTCCTTGGCCTGGGCGGGCAGCTCAGGCTCCAGCGCCCCACAGAGGCGCGCGTAGTGGAAGGTGAGGAACTCGGCCAGCTCCTTGTAGCGCTCCGATTGCAGCACCCGAAGGCGGCGCGCCCGCACCCGCGCCCTCAGCGCCGCCCCCGCCGGCGCCCCGAGCAGCGGGAACCAGCGCTCCAGGCCGGCGGCGGGCGCGCGGGGGGCGCTCACCTCCTCCAGAGCCAGTGCCGCACGGCCCAGGGCCGTGCCCGCGGAGCCCGCGCCGCGCAGTCGCAGCGACAGGCGACGAGCGGGCGGCAGCGCCTCGAAGTGGAAGCGCTCGGCCCAGAAGAGCTGGCCCGGGCCGGCGCGCGGAGCGGTGCGCGCCAGCAGCGAGCCGTCCAGCCACAGCTCGGCCTGCACGCCTTGCGCTCCCGCCGGCCGAGGAAGCCCCTTCGCCTCGAGTACCCACACGCTCAGCCACGTCTCCTCCCGCTCCGCATTGTCCTGGAGTCGGGAAAGGGGTAGGGTGAGTGTTGAGGTGGTGGTGGGGGACACAGCGCTCCGATGCAGGCATTGTAGTAGAAGCGTGCAGCCTTGCCGCGCGTGGTAGCTCACGCCAGACATCCCAGCACTCGGGCGGCCGAGGCAGGAGGATCACCGGCAGCTACATAGTGAGTTCAAGGCCAGCCTGAACTACATAGCTAGGCCCTGTCTCAAAAAACCAACCAATCAACAAATAAATAAATAAATAAATAAATAAATAAATAAATAAAAGGAAGGGCCCTCTCCAAGTGGTTGAAAAGGTGCGGCGGTTACGGCACGCTGGGTTTGGGTGGCATAGAAGGGGCGGGGCCACCTAAACAGTGGGGAGTCTCCGCATCTCGATCCCCACCCGCCTTCGGCAATGACCTGGCTGGGCTGGAAGTGGCGACGAAGGTCCTCGATCCAGCGGTCTCTCTCAGCAGCCGAACGACAGGAGAAGCAGCGGCTCCCGCCCACCCACGTCACCTGTCGAGGCAGGGAATCCAAGTGTCAGGTTGAAGCAAAGTAAGGCTAAAGCGTCAAGAGTGGGATTGTGGGGGAGAGAGGTTGCCCGAATTTACCTGGAAGCAGTGGGGCTCCCCCAGGAGGCTGGAGTGCAGCGGCCAGACCCGCACGTCCTGCTCAGCGCCCAGGTCCAGCTCGGAGAGTGTGACCAGCGATTCCCTAGAGCCCAGAGTGCTGGGGGTCCTGGAGTGAGGGCGGGTGAGCAAGCGCTCACTCCTTCCTCTCCTCCGCCCACCCCGCAGCCAGCCGGAAAGTTAGAGGAAGCCCAGTGACCTGAGCCTAAATTGGATCCCGTCCCTCTCCTGTTTTCAGGCGCCCCCACCCCTGGGGCCTCATTTCTGTGCGTGTGGTCCTGGGGATCCTAGGGCCTCCGCACTGAGCTGCACTCCCAACCATTTTATTTTTCATCTTGAAACAGGGTCTTGGCTAAGTGGCAGAGTTGGCCTGGCTGGGCTCCAACTTGTGATCCTCCTGTCTTAGCCTCTCAGAGTGCTGGGATGACAGGGATGTGCCACCGTGTCAGGCTGCCTCATTGCTTTTAATATAAACGTAGCTCTTCATAGTGGCCCAAATGACCTTGAGAAGTCCAGCCCTTATCACCTTTTTTTTTTTTTTGGTACCAGGGATCAAACTTGGGTCCTTGTGCTTGCGCAGCAGGCGGCGAAACCACTGAGCTAAATCCCCAGCCCCCTTATCACCTTTAAAAAATACATTTTATTTTATCCTATTCCCCCCTCAAGCCCCCTCCCCTCCATATGTACAGAAGCTTTGTTTCCACTTTTTCCTTCTTTTTTTCACTTTTTTCTTGTCCTTTCCTTTCTCCCTCCCTCCTCCTTTTTCCCCCTTCCCATTTGAATGCTTTCTTCCCATTTCCCAACATCCTTGTCACCTTTGATCTCATCTTCCTCCATGTAACCCCTCACTTTCTGAACTCATCTTGTTTTTGTGTCTTTCAGCCTCTCAGTCTTTGCTTGCTGTACCCTCTGCCTGAAATGCTTTTCCTGCTGCCTCTTGGCCGAGTTAACTTCCATCTATCCTAGTGGTCCTCCTCTGACTCTTCCAGACCAAGGTATTGTCTTAGCTCCAGGTTTAGAGCTCGATCCCAGCCTTCACCCATGGGCTGGCTCTTTTGTGCTAGGTCTTTTTGTTTTTTGGTACCGGGGATTGAACTTGGGACCTTGTGCTAGGTCTTTATGGGCCTAGCATCACCCAGCATGGGGAGAACAAAAAGGAGGACACAGGCACAGGCGCAGGCTGTGTGCAGAAGGAGGGGATGACAACCAGGACGCTATTGAGCCCCAGCCACTCAAAGGCCCTTACCCATCCCGTGGGACACTGGCTTCCAGGTCCGACCTGGACTTTTTCTTCTCTTTCAGCCTCTTGAGCAACCCCTGGAGGGAGTCAGATGTCAGCTGGGCAGAACTCTGGGCTCCCTCCTCAGCTCCCACCCACAGGGAAAGGCTCTGTTGGTCTTGAGGGACCCAAAGCATCAATAATAATGGCAACCAGCTTGGTTGCCTCCTCCTCCTCCTCCTCTGTTTGTTTTTGAGACAGGGTCTTATTATGTAGCTCAGGTTGGCCTCAAACTCAGGATTGTCCTGCCTCAGCCTCCCAGTGCTGGGATTACAGGCGTGCGCCACCATTCCCAGGCAGCTCACATTTCAATAAAGCATTGAACATCTGCTTTCCTGCATTCTCCATTAACTCTTTTTAAAGGGACCCCAGCAGGAAGTGGCCTCACTTGCTCTATTTGACAGACAGGGGACACGGAGGCACAGAGAAGGCCAGCCTGGCCCAGATCAGCCAGGACAGTGGATGGCCCTTTCAACGCTGAGGACTGGGAGTCCTTGCTCACCCCACCTCCATTCCCTGCTTCTCCTTGGCTGCCTCACCCGAACATTGTGGACCTGGCTGGAGCCAGCAGCCTCTGGCTCAGTCTTTCCAGAGGTCCGATCTGTGGGTGGTCAGAGGTGGGAGGTAAGGGGTTGAAATTGTCTATGATTCTGCCCCACCTTGAGAGGCTCCCAAATGCCCCAGCCTCACCCAGACTCACCTGGGTTCCTGAGATTCCCCATGACCACTTGCATGCTGCCCTCCAAGCTAGCGCTTCCTATCTGGGGCCAACGAGGACCCTCCTGTCCCAAGGGAGGGGCAGTCAGAAAGGTGAGGCCGCCACCCGACCTTGGGAGGGGTAGGGGCCTCCCCTCGCCCCCACACCCTGCCCAGCCTCAGTTCTGTTCCAGTCCCTCCCCTCTCACCTCCTCCTTGCCTCCAATGTGCACCAGCTTTCCATCAAGCAGAGTGAAGCCCCCAATGTCCCAGACAGGCACATCTGGGGTGGGGGCCTCAGGGATCTGTGACACAAGTGGCTCTGGCTCCAGCTCTAGCTCTGGGAAGAGGAGGAGGTTTGGGGAGACCTTAGGGCCCTTCCTCCTCCCTCTCCATGTGGAAGGCCCCCTGGGGATTCTTTCCTAGGTGCACCACCCCGCAACCCCAGCATACTGTTCCCCCTTGACGAATCTGCCACTCTCTGAGCTTTGCCTCCACGGTCCATAGTGGTGGACATCGCCCACTTGCTATGTGCCCAGTACTGTGTTTACCACTCCACACACGCCTCTCCCCCCTGCTCCTCCAAAGCCATTCAAAGGGCTTTCGTAACTGAGGCCCAGACAAGTTGAGTCACTTGCTCAGGGCCACACAGGTGATGAGGAATGGAGCTGAGCTTCACACACAAGCATTTTTCTCTTAACCAAGACACTGGGTAAGTCCAAGATGCTAAAAAGACAGGACAACTAGCTGAGTGTGGTGGTGCACACCTGTGATCCCAGGACTCAGGAGATTGAGGCAGGAGGAGCACCACAAGTTCAAGGCCAGCTTGGGCTACACAGTGAGACCCTGTCTCAAAGCAAAGAAACAAACCCAACAACAACAGACAAGGCAGCTCTGGGAGGCTGAGACAGCAGGATAGCAAGGTTGAGCCCAGTCTGGGCAGCTTAGCAAGACTCTATCTCAAAATAAAAAATAAAATAAAATAGCTTGAGGATGTAGCTCAGTGCAAAGGCCTGGGTTCAGTCCCCAGTACAAAAACAAAAACGAACAAAAACAAGGACAAGAGACTTTGTTCCCTACCTAAGTGACTAAATCTAAAGGAGGAAAGTATTCAAAGATTAGGAAAGGAACAGAAGGGCCCGGGATCTAGCTCAGTGGTTTTACCACCTGCTGCGCAAGCGCAAGGACCCAAATTTGATCCCCAGTACCAAAAAAAGAGAAAGGAACAGAAAAAATTCAAGGTAGGTGGCAGTCTCTTCTTTTTGGAGAAACGGTAGAAATTACTGAGTCAAGAAAGACCTCCAGAGGGGTTTGCCTGAGGTCTTAAATAGGCAGTTGGATTTTGACACACAGAGAAAGCCATGCATAGTGGCACATGACTGTTGTCTCAGTACTGGGGAGGCTGAGGCAGGAGGATCTCCATAAGTTTGAGGCCAGCCTGGTAGGGGATGGGCAAGGCCCAGCAAAATAAAGGGAAGGACAAGAGTGACTGTAGGGGCTAGAAGGCAAGGCCCAGGAATAGATTGGTACATGGTTTGGGGCACTAGTTGGAGTGTTTTATTGTGGAAGTAGTAGAAGCCATGGGAGGGGTTTAAGCAGGTGAGGAGCAGTGGCGCTTACTAAAGAGCTCTCTCTGGATCCTGTGCAGTGGGCAAGCCCTGATGCCTTGGAGGGGGTTAAAGTGTTGCCTTTGCCAGATAAGAGAGGTGAGAATTAGGTGATCTCCAAGAAAATAGGCAGGGTCAACCCTCCCACGTGAACGATGTGTTCCCTTGTCTTACCACTAGGGGCAGCAAAGGGTAACTCCTTGTTAGCAGGTCACTTGGACATGTCAGGTTTCCGGCGGGTGCCCTGCTGTGTACATCCCTGAGCTTCAATTCTCGTGACATCCATTACCTTTCTAGGTCCCTCTGTGTGACCCTTGGCTCCCCATTTGCCACTTTTTCTTTTCTTTTCTTTATTTCTTTTTGTTGTTTTGTTTTTTGAGGTAGGATCTCACTGTGTAGCCCAGGCTGGCCTTGAACTCGTGGTGATCCTCCTGCCTCAGCCTCCCAAGTGCTGGGATTACAAACGTGTGCCACTGTGCCCAGCCTCCTCCTGCTGACTTTTTTTACTGTTACCCTCCCTCCCGTGATCGTAATAGGGCAGGGAAAGTCACCTGACTTGGTCATTGTCACATCTTCTGTCTCAGTCAGGGACTGGCTCACATTATAGCTCAACAAACCCCTGCTTGACTGACAGACTGAACATGAATTCCTGAAATGATACGCTTTTCAAGGTCGAGATCGTGAATACCACTGAGCTGATGGGGTGACCGAGTCTAGAGGCGCATACCTGTCATCCCAGCACTCAGGAGTCTGAGATGGGAGGATGGCTGTGGTTTCAAGGCCTGCCTGGGCTACATAGCGAGACCCTGTCTCAAACAAACCAAAACCAAACAAAAACAAAACCAAACAAAAACAAAACCAAACAAAACACTGATGGGGAAGTGGAGCTCAGGGAGGTGAGGAAACTAAGACACAAGAGACCAGTTGGGGCCAAGAGCCATTTGGCATCTGGACTCTACCTCCATGAGTCACAGTGCTTCTGTGAGTGTGTCCCTGTCCCTTCTCCAGGCTCAACCAGGAGGTCCCTGGCAGTCCCCACCCCCACCCCTCTTTAGGTGGAAAGAAGGAAGAATGCTTCTGGGGCCCCCACCACTTCCTGCCAGGCTTCTGTGCTCCCCACAACTTCCTGTGTCTAGAGGGCTGATGCTCCGGTGGCAGACAAAACCCAAGCATCCGGCTACCCAGCCACCCTGCAGAGCCTTGGGCAGGGCGGGGGGAAGCTCCTACCTGGAGTCTCTGGCTCTGGCTCTGGCTCCTGTGATGCACTCTTGTGCCGACTCCAGAGGGTCTTGGAGAGCTGGAGGCGACTTCTCCGTGACTCTTTGGGGGGTGCAGGGAGCACCCGACGGAATAGTGAGTGAGGGGCCGGCTGGCTGCTCACCATGGGCTCCTGGTGGCTCAGTGCCCTTCCCCAGCTGGCCAGGCGGCCCCAGCGGAAGCCTCCAGCTCCCTTCTCCTTCTCCTCGCTGCTCCCCAGGTGCCAGCGGTAGGATGTCAGTGGGGAGGGGGCCACAGGCTGGGTTTGGCGGAGCTGGCTCGGTGCCGGTGAGTCCATGGTGGAGGAGAACCTGGGGGACAAGAGGGCGACATTTGTGCCCAGTGTCTGCCTGCATCTCGCCTCATCTCCATCTCCTTGCTGCTCTCGGCTCTGCCTCCAGGGAACTCGCTTGGGGGCCAGGCCCCCTCCTCTCTCTTACCTTGATTTCCTGGCCAGCCCCAGAATCAGCAGCCGTCTGCACTCGGCCTGGCTTCCTCCCACTGAACCCAGCTCCACGTGACCCTGGCTGTCCTACCCCACCCCACAGCCAGGCTGCAAGGGCATGGGGGTGGGGGGTGGGGGCAGGATGCCAGGATGGGGGTGGAGGCGAGGAGGTAGAGGGGGTGGCTGACTGTGCGGGGTTCTGGCAAGATGGTCCCAGAATCCCTCACCAAGAGGCGCCACATGAGCCTCTCTTTGAGCCTCAGTTGTCTCTTCTGCAAAAAGGTCACATGCTGGATAAATGCTGGCAAGGTTAGGACCACCCAGGGCTCTCATCTGCTGCTGGCCACAGCAGAGACCTGTTCATCCAGGTTGGAGAGCTGTTTGGCCTCATCTCCTTAAGGATAGATTATTTTATTTATTTATTTATTTATTTATTTATTTTGGTACTGGGGATTGACTTTAGGACCTTGCTCTTGTGAGGCAGGTGTGGCACCACTGAGCTAAAACCTCAGCCCAGGATAAATTATTTTATTTTTTTTATTTTTGTGGTTGTTGTTGTTGTTGTTGTTGGTATGGGGAATGGAACTCAGGACCTTGCACTTGTGAGGCAGGCAATGGAACCACTGAGCTAAATCCCCAGCCCATGGTTAAATTATTTTAAACTGGGCATGGTGACACATATCTGTCATTCCAGCGCTTGGGAGGCTGAGGCAGGAGGATTGCCTGTGAGTCTGAGGCCATAGTGAGTCACAAGGCTACATAGTGAGTTCAAGGCTAACTTGGACTATATAGTGAGACCCTGTTAAAAAGAAAAAAAAGAATAGATTTTAAATTTTTTATTTATTATAGTGTCTTCATACAGTGGAATAGTTTGCAGCAAAGACAAAGAGCTACTGAATAATTGACCTTAGATCAGGTCAATTGAATCATGACCTTGATTGCTGAGCCAGAACAAAAACAAAAACCAAACACAAGGTAGAGTATGTATCATATAAACTGGGTGTAGTGGGGTAGGGCTGTATTCCCAGCACTCAGGGAGGCTGAGGCAAGAGGATTGTTAAATGCAGGCCCAGCCTCAGAAATTTAACAACTCAGTGAGACTTTTCTCAAAATATAAAATAAAAAGGGGCAGGGGATGTAGCTCAGGGAGAAGACCCTGGGTTACATCCACAGTACCACCACCACCACAACAAAAAGTATGTATTATATGATTCCATTAATACAAAATTCCTAAGCAAGGGAGGCTATGTGTAATAAGTCAGAGTATCGGTTTCCTTTACAAGAGCCAATGACAAAGGAGACTTCTAAGAGCCAATCTTTTTTTTGTTTCTTTTTTTGAGACAGAGTCTCACTATGCATCCCAGGCAGGCTGAGAACTCACGGTGATCCTCCTGCCTCAGCCTCCTGACTGCTAGGATTACAGGCCTGCCCTGCTAAGCCTGGTCTTTTCTTTTTTTAACAGAAGTGAAATTCACATAACTCAAATTTAACACATTCTATTTTTGAGCTGAATGCGGGTTTCATGGATGTGGTCTGTTGTGAAATTCATTAAGCAATATATTTTGGTGTGCTGTCCTATACCTTATACCTCAATAAATGTTTACTTGGAAAATAAAAAGGTAGGCATATAGTGACCTGCCAAATGAGTGAGTCAGCATCATCCTGACCCAAGAGCCAGACAGGAACTGGTTTGAGTACCAGCTGGCCACTCTTTCCCTGTGTGATCTCAGTCATTTCCTCTCTCTGAACCTTGGTTTCCTTATTTGTACAAGATGATAACATCAAATTTCAAAATGTTTGTAATGTAGCCCAGTGTGGTGGTGCACACCTGTCATCCCAGCATTCAGGAGGCTGAAGCAGGAGGATTACTGTGAGTTTCAGGTAAACCTGAGCTACATAGTGAGTTTAAGGCCAGGCTGAACTACATAGCAAGATCTTGTCTCAAAACAAACAGAAACAAACAAACAAACAAACACATAAATATAATTTTTTTGTGGTGCTGGAGATCAAACTCAGAGCTTCACACACCTGAGGCAAGTGCTCTACCATTGCAACACAGCCCTATTTTTACTTTTTTGTGTGTGGTGCTGAGACTAAACCCAGGGCCTTGAGCATGCTAGGCAAGTACTCTTCCACTGAGCTCTATCCCCAGCCCTCTTTTAATTTTTATTTTGTCTTTTCTTTTTTGTGCTGAGAATCAAACTCAGGCCTCATGTTTGCCAGGCAGGTGCTGTGCCACTGAGCTATCTTCCCGGACAGATAATTTTTATTTTGAAATAGAGTCTCACTAAGTTTCCCAGGCTGGCCCTGAACTTACAGTGCTCCTGCCTCAGCCTCATTATTTACTGGAATTATAGGCATGGGCCATGATGTGTTGCAACCTATTTTTATTTTTAATTGCAAATTTGTTTTGTTTTGCTTTATTTTTTATGTTTTTGAGACAAGTTCTTGCTTACGTAGTTCAAGGCTGGCCTTGAACTCACTATGTAGCTCAGGTTGACCTCAAACTCGTGGTGATTCTCCTGCCTAAGACTCCTGAGTGCTGGGATCACAGATGTGCACCACCATGCTCCGCTCTCCCTGCATTTTTCTTTTTTTGTACCTGTGAGACTGAACAACAGTTACTCCATTTTGTAATAGGGCCCCAACTTGTCTGCTTCTGTTACGGATCACCAGGTAGACATCGAGTTCCAGGGATGTGCTTTTTGTTGTGCCAGGAAGGTCTGTTGTGTGCGTAGTGTTCCGTCATGCTTGCCCAACTCCATATCTGAATATGTTATTTTAAGAACAATCTGTAAAAGTTCCTTCTGCGTTTCACTTCTGTATTTCTGCTTGCCAACTTCCCTCTAGCATCTCCTATAAAAGGACCTCAGGCTCTGAGCCGGGCGCCTCTCTAAGCTTGGAGCTTGGAGAGTGCCGTCTGGCCAGACTAATAAAGGTCTGTTTTACAACTTGTCCAGTGTGTTCCCTCCTGGGTGATCTTCACTGTAGTCAGCTCCTCAGAGCATTTGGTAAGGCCCATAGTCTTACTGTACCAGGGATCGAACTTGGGTCCTTGCGCTTTTGAGGCAGGCAACGAAACCACTGAGCTAAATCCCCGGCGTCTCCCTGCATTTTTTAAAGACAGGGATTCACTATGTAGTTCAGGCTGGCCTTGAACTTATGGAGATCCACCTGCCTCAGCCTCCCGAGTGTTAGGATTACAGGCCTGCACCACTTCACCTGGCTCTTTGCATTTTTGCTGGAGGCGCTTACTCAATCAGTGACCCCGGCTCCCTTACCTCTTTCATGGGGTGACCCTGAGGTTTGCTGTCCCTGTGGGACTGAGCTCTGGTTGCCTTCAGTGGGAACTTGCTTGATAACATATCCTTCCCTGGCTGCTCTTCTTTCCCTGCTTTTCTTCCTCACTTCCCATCTGATATGTCTCGGGGCCACCTCCCATTCAACTACTTGTACTACTATTTATTTAATTATTGTACTGAGAACCAAGCCTTTGCATTGAGCTACACCTTCAGTCCTTTTTTATTTTGTATTTTGAGTCAGAATGTAAGTCACTAAGTTGCCCAGACTTCACTTGAACTTGTGATCCTCTGACCTCAGCCTCCCAGCCCGCTGGGATTACAGGTGTGTTCCTCCACACCTGGCTTATTTTAAAATATCTTTTATTTTTGTGGTGCTAGAGATGGGAGTCAGTGCCTCAAGCATGCTAAACTCTACCACTGAGCCACAGCCCCTTATTCTGGATTTTTTTGCTCTCAGGTCTGCTTCTGAACAAAGCCAAACTTAGACAATGTGCACAGACAGACAATGTGAGACCAGAGATTTTTCTTTCTATGGTGACTTTATTGGAGATCTGCAGCTGCTGGAAGAATCGACCATGAGAGGCAGTACCCTCCTGGATCTTTGAGAGGCCGTCCTGGTAGTTCTTAGTTTCCAGTCTGGAAGACACAAGGAGGCGTCAGACTGGAGTGCATGAGTAGCAGGCTCTGCTCTCTCTTCATGTTGGGACTTTGGAGCGGGGAGGGGATGGGTCCAAAGTGTGGGAGTGGCTACAAAGCTCATTGCAGGCCAGGGAGTCTCAATGGATGAAGGAAATGGAGTGGTGGCACGCAGATGGCATGAAATTGTCCAGTTATGATGAAGCATTTCAGTGACTGAGGTTGGGGGCTATCGCAAAGTCTCCTGGGCTAGCTGCGGTGGCCCTCAGTAGCGGAGTTGTGTTGGTGGGTCTTAGTGTCAGGGGACTGAGCAGCATTTAAGGATTGCAATACAGGGTTAGGGCCTGGACAGAGGTTGTGGAGGCAAAGGGGTCTGGGGTAGATTCAAAGGCTAGGTTAGTGTTATGTGTCCGGAAAGCCTTTGGGTAGGGGCCCAAAGCAAGGTCAAGGTTGTATGAGCTGGGCTGAGGTTATGCAGGCAGAAGTCACAGCAGAGGATGTTGCTGGCAGTGACTGAAGGCTGGGCCTAGGTTGCTGCGTCCAAGGGCTGCCAGGAAGATGCGTCAGAGGCTGCGGCGGGCCCGAGCGCCCTGGGGACTCACCTCCGAGAAGCGCGGCCAAGTGCGCAGCTGGTGGAAGAGCGCTTCGCCAGGACAGTCGGTTTTCACCAGCTGGCGGTGGCCCAGCACCTGGTAGTCGCGCCGTAGGTGGCCGGCTCGCACTGCGCAGCCAGGGAGCATGTCGCGCACAATGTGCAGCGCGGCCTTGCTGGGCAATGTCTTGGTGTAGTCGCCCACGATGGCCACGCCGAAGCCGCGGGAGTTGTGTCTGCGCGTGTGCGCGCCCACCCAGTGCCAGCCGCGGCCCTCGTACACGTAGCCCTCAGAGCCCACCACGAAACTGCAAGGGAGGGGAGAGAGTCACCGTGGGCGTGAGGGTGGCTCACCTCTTCCCTGGGCCGTCCCTCTCCCATTCTGTCCCTGGACATCACTGGCCATCTGACCCAAAAAACCACCTGATCCCAAGGTCACCTGACATCAAAGGTCATCCGAGCCTAAGAAACATCTAGCTTCAAGGAACATCTCACCGTAAGAGCCCCCGACCCCAAGGGCCCTCGGACCCCATGTCAGATCCCCTGTTCAGCTCCACACCACTCCCACTCCAAGTGCCACCCCAGAAATCTTCCTGTCTCTCTGGATCATCCCCCTCAGCGTTGGCCACGTCCACGTCCCCTCTCTCCCCTCCGGGTTTCCTCCTATTCTCTGGTCCAGATCATACCCAGTTCGGAGCTTTTCTGTTAGAACACCACAGGATGGTCCAGCACTGGGCCTGCTTTTGTATTTTCTTACTTTTTTTTTGGTACCGGGGATCGAACACGGAACTCCGGTCCTTGCTCTTGCAAGGCAGGAGGCGGAACCACTGAGCTAAATCCCCGGCCCTGTATTTTCTAACCATCCCCACAGCGGGCCTGGAACAGTGACCAGATCTGGGAGCCTGGGTGGGGACAGGGCGGATGGTCCAGCCAGGCATTTTGGCCCTGAATGGATAGTCTCAGCCCTAGCCCACCCCAGGCTGTGATACACCCTGCCCCCAGCTTCCCTTGCTCAGTCCCCCTCCAGCGTGGGGTGAACTGAGGCCAGACCCAGACCCCACAGGCCTCCCTATTCCTGCCTCCAGTCCTAGTCTTTCCCTTGACCCGAGTCCTGCTGTTTAGCAATTTCGGGTCCCTGTTAAGGACCGCCCCTGCTCTAACCTGACTCCACCCATCACAGACTCCTCCTCCGCCTCGACAGGCTCCCCGTCACTAGCTTCACTCTGTCGGCCCCGCCCCGAGGCGGCCAAGCCCCGCCCAGCTGCCCCCGTGGCAGCTGGACCCTGCTCCTCCAAGCTCCACCCTCTCACTCCGCCCGTAGGCCTCGCCCACCTGTAGCCGATGTCATCCCAGCCTCGATGGTCCTGGTGAAAACGCTGGATGGAGCGCATGTTGGCGGCGCAGCGCTCGAAGGTGGTGCACGGTGAAGCCGGCACAGAGGTGTGATGCACATACAAGAACCTGAGCGGCAGCTTCAGTGGTATCGGGAGGCCCCGGTAGGGCGCGGCTTCCCAGCGGCAGCGGGGGTGGATGGCTGGGCATCCTGAAAGCGAGGGAGACCAAGCTGGATCAGGAGGGGTTCCTTCCTGCCCTCTGCACCCATGAACGCGCATGCGTGGATGTCCCTCTGGTATCGTCCCAGATTTAGGGAGAGTCCAGTCTCACCCCACACTGGTCCCTACTAAAATCTAATTTAAGTAAATCAAAGTCCTGGAATATCCCAGTCTTGGAATATCCTCTGTGTCTCCCCTTATCTTTGAGATAAAGCTCAAAAATTTTAGCACAGACTTCAAGGGCAGACTTCAAGGAAGGTGGGAGGGGCCTGGGTGGAAGGGGCGGAACAGACTGTCAAGGAAGAGTGAATGAGTGGGGCTGTCCCTATGTGGGACAAGACTGAATGTTGGAGTAGAACTAGGGGACAGAGCCTGTCACGGGGGAGGAGGAGTTGGTGATGGGTAGAGTCAGGTTAAAGCAGGGGCAGGGCCTTAAAATGGACCTGGTACAGTGACCCAATGCTTCTTTCAGCTGCCCGTGCCCTGACCTAAGGGAAATGAAACAGCACTGAGAAAGAAATCTCAGCCTAGGGGCCGGGGGTTTAGGTCAGTGATTCCGCCGCCTGCCTCGCAAGCGCAAGGTCCCAAGTTCGATCCCCGGTACCAAAAAAAAGAAACCTCAGCCTGCATTTACTGAGCTGAACTGTCACTTGAACCTCTGCCCATTTACACCAGCTGAGCCCTACTGGAAGGTGGGAGAACCTTTCGAGGTGGGGTCTAGTGAGAGGAAGTTAGGTCACAGGGGATGGACATTGGGACCCCAGTCCTTCCTTTCTCTCTTTGCTCCCAACTGAAAGGGGTGAGCAGTTTCCTCTGTCACTTGTTACTCACTTCCACTGTGATGTGTTGCCTTGCTATAGGCCCAGAAACAATGGACAGCTGACTATGCACTGAAAACTATGAGCCAAAATAAACCTTTCTTCTTAAGTTGTATTGTCTTGGGTATTTTGTTACAGTAATGGAAAGCTGACTAAAGCAACCTCTGCCTCACTTTCTTTTTCCTTTCTCTTAGCAGCGCTGGAGCTGGGCACGGTGGTGCATACCTGTAATCCTGGCACTTGGGAGGCTGAGGCAGGAGTATTGTGAATTCAAGGCCAGCCTGAACTGTATATTGAGACCTTCTCCCCCCCCCCAAAAAAACCAAAACCAAACCAAACAAACAAACCAAGCAGTGTTGGGGATCAAATCCCGGGTCTTGTGCTTATTAAGCAAGTGCTATACAATTGAGCTATGCCCCCAGCCATTTTTCCTTTTTCTTTTCTTTGGAGACAGAGTCTAAGTTTCCCTGTCTCAGCCTCCAAGGAGTTGAGCTCACAGGCATGTCGCCCACACCTAGCTCTTCTTCACTTTAAAAAAATTCAGATAAAGCTCACCATTGTGCTTCATGGTGCACACCTGTCATCCCAGCACTCTAGGAGGCTGAGGCAAGAGAATCACAAATTTGAGCCCTGTCTGGGTCATCTAACAACTTAGCAAGTCTCTGTCTCAAAATAACAAAGAAGGGACCCTGGGATGTAGCTCAGTGGCGCTGTGCCTGCCTGGCAAGTACAAGATCCTGAGTTCGGTTCCCAGTACCAGAAAAAAACAAAATACAAAAAAGGGGCTGTGGATGTAGTTTCATGTGAAGGCCCTGGGTTCAATCTCCAGTACCTGCTACAAAACAAACAAAACCAAGCACCCTCCCCTCCCCCCCGCAAAAAAAAACAACAACACAAAACCAACCCAGATAAACTTCTATTCATCCTTTAAGGCCCTACTCCTTCTAACATTTCCTCACGTGTGCAGCAGTCCTGCCCTCCCCCATCTAAAGCCCTTAATGTACCCTCTGGAATCTTGTGGCCCTGCATCCCCCTGATCCCATAGCATCGGAATGTCTGTGTCTGTGACAGGAAGGGCACAAGGTAAGGGGATCTTCTCACCCAGGAAATCCTTCGTGAACTCCCTGGCAGCGTGGGCAGCCACCTGGGCCAGCTGTTCTTGGCTGATATTCTGCAGCTGTGGCGGTCCTGGCTCCACACCCTGTAGGAGCACAAGAGCCCCCAACACCTGCTGGGCCAGGGTGGAGGCTGAGGTCAGAGCAGCCCCCTTCTGCCGCCGGAAGTTGCTGCGGAACTCAGGGTCTCCAGCCACCCCTGCTCCATAGTACTCCCTCAGCAGGCGGCTGAGGAGTGGTCGGGGCTCAGGGACCCTGCTTAGGTAGTCTCCAAGGAGAGCCCCATCCAGGGCGCCATTGAGGAAGGCCATGGTCAGCACGGACACCTTGGAGTCCAGCAGCATGAATTTCTGGGGGACAGAGAGCTGGTCCCAGCAGCCATCAGTTCCCAGGCTTGGGAGGTTCTTGTCCTGGGAGCCCTGGAGGAAGGTTAGGCCCAGATCTGCAGCGAGGGTGATGGTCAGGAAGCTGTCCCTAGCAGTGAGCAGTTCGGCTTTGCCTTTTGGTAGGGTGGCTCTGGCATCTGTAGGGGTGATAACTGGAGAAGCACCCGTGGGCCCTGGGGAGGTGGCTTCAGCATCTTGAGGGGTGGCCGGGCTCTCAGAGGACAAGGTTAAGGTTGAAACCTTGTGCACTTGTAGCCCGGCTGTCAGTCCCACCAGCAGAGGCTTCACAGCCACAGTGGAGCCATCGGGTGCCAGCACCACCCCGTACTCCCGCCCGTCCTGTACATCATGTCGGACCACCTTCTCAACCAGGTCTTGAAGCTCTGGGTTCAGGGGTGGCGGCTCCAGCTCGGTGATCTTGAGACTTGGTGCCTCCAGCAGGAGGTGGTGGAGGGGATGGCGGGGCCCAGAGCTCTGGGCTGATAGAAGCCATGCAGAGGCACTTTGGTTGGCCCCAGTCCCTGGCACCTTCTGCTCGAGCTCAGCCAGGGCCTGGATGACGGAGTCCATGAGCAGAGGCAAGGAGGCTGGGGGAGAGAGAATGTGTCATCCGTCTCTGAGCATCCCCTGCTGATCCCACATCTTCCCCTCCTCCTAGCGCTCCACCTGACAACCTGGTGACTCCCAGAACTGTCCTTTGTGTACAGGAGGAAACTGAGGCAGTCAGACTGTTGTCTGTTGATTAAGGGGCTGGGAACACTGGGGAGCCATGGAAGATTATAGGCAGGAGAGAGAGAAAGAGAGAAGCCAGGCTGGCATCCTAAGATTGTTTCTATGGCTGTCATGAGGAAATGGATTCTCAGGGTGCTGAAAGAGAGATGTGGAGATGGTGTGGTGGTGTGGACAAAGGCACAAGGGGTCCCAGATGTTTAAGAAAAGATGCAGCCAGGCCTGGTGGCACATGCCTGTGATCCCAGCACTGAGGAGGCTGAGGCAGGAGGATAACTGCAAGTTCGAGGCCAGCCTGGGCAACATAGTGAGTTCAAGCCCAGCCTGAACTATACAGCAAGATCTTGTCTCAAAAAAGAAAAAAAGAAAAGAAAAGGGTTCATCATTTGGGGTGACACATTGGAGTTACAAGTTTTAGAGGGAGAGGTATCTGGAAGGATGCCCAAGAAGAGAGGGAGGGTGGGGCTGTGCCTTTTCAATGGCTAAAAACCTAGAATTATTATTATTATTATTATTTGATTCTTAACATTTTTTTTTTAATACCAGTGATGGAACTCGGGACCTTGCACTTGCGAGGCAGGTGGCAGCACCACTGAGCTAAATCCCCGGCTATTATTATTATTATTATTATTATTATTATTTGAGATAGGGTTTCACTGTGTAGTTCAGGCTGGCCTTGAACTCACTATGTAGCTCAGGTTAGTCTCAAACTCACAGTGATCTTCCTGCCTCAGCCTCCCAAGTGCTGGGATTATAGGAGTACACTATCACACCCAGGATAAAACTCATGGCAATCCTTCTGCCCTCAGCCTCCCGAGTGCTGGTATGGGCACGTGTCACCATGTCTGCCAGAACCTAGAATTTAAACAGGGTGTGGTGGCGCACCTGGACTAGATAGCGAGACCCTGTCTCAAAAAAAAAAAAACCCCCTAGAATTTAGAGGTGTTGGGTTTCCTAGCCCAGAGCTGGGTTCTTGGATAAATCACTGATATTTATTAAACATTTACTTTGGGCCAAGAACCACTGTCAGTGATGTTTGTGTGTGTGTGTGTGTGTGTGTGTGTGTGTGTAAGGGTACTGGGGTTTAACCCAGGGAGTGCTGAGGGACACCCTCCTTTCAATCCTTTTTTGTTTTTCTTTTGATACAGGGTCTTACTAAATTGCAGAGGCTGCCCTCAAACTTGTGACCCTCTTGCCTCAGCCTCCTGAGTAGCTTGGGAGGTACTTGGGTAGCCTTCCAAGTGCTGGGATCACAGCCATGTGCCACCACATCCGGTCCCCATTCCTGACTTGACTCGATGGGGCTGGGAGCATTTGAGTCCCCAGACTGGAGGTCCCTTGAGAGCCGGTCTCACTGGCTTCGTCGCATTCAGGGCCCGATGCCGAAAGGGCCACTGTACACTTCTGTGCAGCTGAGAGTCCCAGCCCCAGGCCTCTGACCTCTGACTCACCTGTCCCGGGCTCTGGGCACAGCAGCAATCCAAGCAGGATCCAGAGGACACTGTGGGGTCTCATCATGGGTCTCCAGCTTTGAGGGGACCTATGTGGTCGGCCTCAGCAAGCACCTCGAGGTGCTGGAAGGGGACAGGTGGGGAGAGATGAGCAGAGCCCTTGGGCCCTGTCAAAGTCCACCGATGAGTGACACAGCTGCTTCTCACAGAGCCGCGGGAGGCAGCTGGTGCGTAGGAGCAGAGTGCCCTAGTTCAAGGTCGTCTGGGCCCCCAGGTCTCTTCCTGCTGTCCCATCCCTAGTGTCAAGGGTCAGTGAACCAGGCTCTTCCCAGAGGGTTAGTAATTCAGATTTGAGCAAATTTTGCCCATTCTTGAGAGAGGTAAACCGAAGTGCATGCAGTAAGTCCTGCCCTCTCCCTCTAGTGACTAGTAGCTACTGCCGGCCACCAGAGGGGACTCTCAGCTGCCTGGTAAGAACAGGCTGTGTTGCTGAGTGTAGGGATCCTAGCACTTGGAAGGCGGAGGCAGGAGGATCCTGAGTTCATGGCCGGCCTGGGCTACATAGGGAGACTGTCTCAAAGAACAACAATAACAAAACCAAGAACAGGTTGTGCGGGGCTGTTGGATTTTTTGCTAGTTAGAGTTTCCATCACTGTGACAAAATACTGAAATAATCAACTTTTAAGAATGAAAGATTTATTTTGGCTCAAAGCTTTGGAGCTTTCAGCCTGCGGTGAGGCAGTGAATTCTGATGGGAAAAGGAGTCGGAGGAAGCGGCTTGCTCCACAGCAGACGGGAAACAGATACAGGAAGGGGCCAGGGCCCCAGTGTCTCCTTTAATGGCACAGCCACATGGCCTGACTCTTCCTCCATGGGGTCTCTCTCTCTTCCCCCTCTCTTTTGTTTTGCCCAGGTTTACCAAAAGAATGGGTGGTGGGAACAAGGATTCCCCACCTCTCTTTGGTACTGGGGATTGAACTCAGGGCTTTGTACCTATTAGGCAAGTGTTCCACCCCTGAAGTACAGCCCCAACTCCTTTTATTTTATTTTGAGACAAGGTCTCGCTAATTTCCCTGGGCGAAGCTCAAATTTAAACTGGCTGAGGAGTAGGTGGGATGATGGGATGTGGTGCCGCACACACCAGGTACTGTCTTTGCTGAGGCCTGCTCCAAGCCCATGGCCACCATGATGTCAACTGTTACCCAGTTACAGCCCCCCCAGACCCCCAGATGGAGCTGAGAGCCGGAGCTGGGCCTGAGCACTGGAGAACCTGGGCTTTGTCCCAGGAGGTGGCTTCTGGACTTACCTGGGGTGACAGTGAGGGTCCTTCCACTTCCTTGGGGACTTGCAGCTGAGTCCTAGGGAATGAGTGGGTCTCTCCTTTATTCAGACATGGGGGGCGGGCTCCACTAGGCTGGCCTGCTATGCCTGTGGATGACTTCTCTGTACCACCCACTGGGAGGAGTGTCCGGAGACCCACCAGGCTGAGACTTAGGATGAGTCAGCCCAGAGTGACCAGGCCTGGGACTCCCCAGGGAGCCATCCCTGGGACCCACTCAGCTATCAAGTATTCTTCATCTGGCACTCAGCTGGCAACAGGAACTAGGACATCGGGGACCAGATGAATGGGATCCACTCCCCACTGGCAGTACCCTCCTCCAAGCCCAAGTTTCCAAGGATCTGGGGGCAAGGAGCCCTTCCTGGTAGCACCAAGTGGAGGATGTGGGCATTGCCTAGGGGGAGGCATCTTCTTTGGGTGCAGCTGAAATCAGTCATCAAGATAAATGGATTTTTATGTGGTGGTGCATACCTGTGATCCTGGCTCGGCACTCGGGAGGCTGAGGCAGGAGGATTACAGAGAATTCAAGGCCAGCCTGGGCTACATAGTGAGTTCAAAGCCAGCCTGAACTACACAGCAAGGCCCTGTCTCAAAAAACCAAAAAAAATATTTTTGGATTTTAAAAAGATTGCTTTTTTTTTTTTTTTTTTACTGGGGAAAGACCTGAGGACCTTTTGCTTTGCGAGGCAGACAGTGGCACCACTGAGCTAAATCCCTGCCCCGAAAGATTGTTTTTTCTTTTTGAGACAGGGTCTCGCTGTATAGTTCAGGCTGGCCTTGAACTCACTATGTAGCCCAGGCTGCCCTCAAATTTGCTGTGATCCTCCAGTCTCAGCCTTCTGAATGTTGGGATTACAGGCATCCACCACCATCCCTGGCTGAAAAAATTCTTTTTTAAAATTTAGACAGGTTTAGGTTCATTGTAACATTGAGCAGAAGGTACAGAGATTTCTCATAAACCTGCTGCTCCCACATAGGCACAGCTTCCCCCATTGTCAACATCTCTCACCAGAGAGGCACATCTGTCACAATCGATAAAACCTACATTGACATTGACTCATCACTATCACCCAAAGTCCATAGTCTACTTTAGGGCTCACTCTTGATGTACATTCTACTTTGTGTGTGTGTGTGTGTGTGTGTGTGTGTGTTGGGGGTTAAACCCAGGGAGTACTGAGCTACACCCCTGGTACTTTTTATTTTATTTAATTTTAATTGTTATTTTGAGACAGGGTCCACGGCAGGCTGGTTTCAAACTGTGACCGTCCTGTTTCAGCCTCCTGAGTGCTGGGATGAAAGGCTCATACCACCATGTCTAGCTCCTGATGATATATGATATGAATCACTTTTCATATGTGTATTTGCCATCTGTGTATCTTTTTGAGAGAGGGGTCTGTTCAGGTCTTTGGCTTTTGGCTTTTTTTTGTTTGTTTGTTTGTTTTTTGAGGCAGGGTCTCCCTTTGTGGTTCAGGCTGGCCCTGAACTCACAGTGATCCTCCTCCTTCAGCCTCTCAAGTGCTGGGACTACAGGCATGCGCCACTGGCTCTTTGGCTTATTTTTAAAAATCCAATTGTTTGCTTTGTAATTGTTGAGTTCTTTATGTATTTTGGATTCTGGTCCTTTTACCAGCTGTGTCTTTTGTCAATACCTTCTCCAAGTCTGTCGCTTGTCTTTCCATTCTCTTGAGATAAGTAACTTTTAAATGCAATAATTTAAGAGCCCAAAGTGGTTTTTTTTTGTACCAGGGATCGAACTCGGGACCTTGTGCTTGTGAGGCAGGTGGCGGAACCACTGAGCTAAATCCTTGGCCCTAAGAGCCCAAAGTGAATGCAAAAAATTTGATGATGAATAATTTTTTTTTTTTTGAGACAGGGTCTGTTAGGAAAAAGGAAAAGAAGCAGAGGTACGAGCTCAACAGGACAGGTTTATTGCAGAACAAATCTGAGAGGGACCGCTCTGGCACTAGAGACCAGACCAGCTGCTCTCCTACAGGCTGTGGGGTTTTTGTAGAGTTGCAGGGAGAGGGGAGCTCAGTGAACGGGGGTTGTGGCTTCCTGCCAAGAACAAGGCTTGAGAGAGCTCAAGCAATGATGGCTGCCAAGGACGAGGCCTGGGAAAATGCAAGTAGTAGTGGCTACTAGCAATATCACAGCTGATAGTGCTATGATTCCCCAGGTGCAGCTATGCTGGGAGGGTGTGGTTTACAGGGGTCTCCCATCAGGATGGTGGTGGTCAGATTCCTTCAGGGTCTCTCTATGCAGCTCAGGTTGGCCTTGAACTCACGGGAATCTTCCTGCCTCAGCCTCCCAAGTGCTGGGATTACAGGTGTGCCCCACCAAACCTGGCATGATGAACAAAATATTAAGATTTTAAATAAAGACAAGATCAGTTATAGTCCTGTGCTGATATGTATTAGAGCTAGAGACCAAAGGAAAATTCAGGAAAATTTTATCTCGTCTTCCTGTTTTACCTGTCTTGCCCTAATTCTGGCCCTGTGTCCACCAGGGCCAGGATGCTAGAGGGTGGTTCTTATGTGAGACCCTTACTTTGCGGCTTCCTGGTTTGGAAATGACCTGGATTCAGCGGTGTGGACTCTAGATTTGCCTCTGTTCCTTCTGCTGTTCGGGGCTGTTTGTGAGGTCTCTGGCAGTTTTATTTAGCCACTCATTTATTCCCATTTTGTCCAGCAGGAGGCTGAGCTCAGAGAGATTATGAGATTATGCCACTGATCTAAAGTCACATAGCTAGAATCTGGGGAAGGGGAAGGCTGGAAACCCAATGCTAGGTTCCATTAGTCCCCAAGGCTTCCAAAGCCCCAGCCCAGCTGGGTGGCGGCGTGCATGAGCCTATGGTCCTAGATACTTAGGCTGAGGTGCTCATTTCATAGGTAGCCAGCCTATGTTAGCAAGCCTAGGAGTTTCCCCATCCACACTTATCTCCCCTAGACCCGGAGATGGGATGCCCCAGAGTGCCCAATGCAGGCTCATGACCAAGTGGGTGTTAGGGAAGGTTTGCTGGGAACCAGAAAAACCTGATTGGGGAGGGCTGTTGGGTCAGTTTGGGGTTAGACTCCGAAAAATTCAGGCACCCACATACCAACTCGCCTGCACTGGGCTGGGTCTGGGCGGCAGCAGAAAGGCTGCAGATACCATGATGAATCACCCTGTACCCCAGATTTCTGAACCATCTCATGAGGTCCACCTGCCAGGAGGGGTAAGACCCTGCAGGCCACTGACTAGGATGTGGGGCCAGCTCTAGAGGGGGACCAAGGGTCCTGGGCCATTAGAGAAGCTGGATCAGGGCCAGAGGAGAAGGAACTTAATTGCATAAAAAAATTATTTTTCTGAGATAGGATCTTTCTACGTAGCCTAGGCTGGCTTCAAACTCACAGCAACCTTCCTGCCTCTGCCTCCTGAGTGCTGGGTTTACAGGTGCCACCATGCCCATCCAGCTAAGTGGTATGAAATTTTTTATCTCACTTCTAGATCTATATAACCACCCCAGTCAAGATACAGAACTGTTCTAGTACCAAAAAGGAATCACTTCCTGTTATAATCCTTTATATTGGCACTGCTCTCCTATTCTGGTCCGAGGGCAATCACTGATGTGGTCTTCACTTCTGTAGTTTTGTCAAAACATTTTCATCAGGCTGAGGATTTAGCTCAGTGGGTCCACCACCTGCCTCGCAAGTGCAAGGTCCTGAGTTTGATCCCTGGTACCACCCCCCACCCCCCCAAATCAAAAAACAAAACAAAAAACCCACATTTTCATCATGAGGAAAAAACCCACTTTTATTGCTGACTGTGGCAGCAATATAGAACCATAGAAGGAATGAAATAAATGCTCGAAGCCGAAGAAAAAGTTAAAAAGATTCAGGGCCTGGGGATTTAGCTCAGTGGTTCTGCTGCCTGCCCCACAAGTACAAGGACATGAGTTCC